TAATGATATGATTACGAATTCTTATATACAGCAGGGTAGGAGAGACGAAAACATAATAGAAATATGAATCATCATTTGTGCATCTGTTAAATATTTCTTGGCCTTTTCATTGATACTTTTCATACTTCAGCTGGTATGACTGTGAAACAGAAACTAAATTGCACTTCTTAAAAAGTCTTAAGTTTAAAGTGGTCAAGTCTGCAGAAAATCTGCTGTTAAGAAATATATTAGTTCACCTGAAAGATTCAAAGGCACTCTAAATGGTATTGTGTCATCAGTAAATTCCTGACAGGCAAAATTGTTCTTCCTTTGCCTTTATATCATGTGAGTCCTACTGTGTGCAGTTCCAAAAAAGTTTAGGCCACCAAGGAGTTAAAACAAATGACTTTCCCTTGCAGGAATTTACCTGTGCCATCAATAGCTCTACAGAAACGACTACCAGCTATAAAAAAGATCAATGTGACTGTTATAAATAAGACTGATTCCATACCATAATGAAAATGCCACCAGCAGCATAAAAATGAATATCACTGCTGATTAAATCACACACACTTATGCTTCTAAGTAAATATGTATTGTAATGAATATATGAATGTGAATAATAGATTGTAGAATCGATTTTACTATTGAGTGACTTTTTACAAGCAGCTTGTTGTTAAATTAAAAGCTACTTAGCCTCAACTTATGAGTTTTTTTTTCTTTCTTTTCAGGACTGAACGAGATGCAACAAACTGGTCCTCAGACAAATTAAAATCATTGCTCCTCGGGTTGAGCGTGGAGAACGAAGAAGGGACGTGTGAGGTGACCGAAGTCAGCAAGCTGGAGGGAGAGGCCTCGATTAACAACCGCAAAGGGAAACTTATTTTCTTCTATGAATGGAACCTGAAAGCTGCTTGGACTGGTGAGTAGAAAACTGAGGTTACCCTTTGTGCTGTTTTAGGGGGAAGTTTGGTTTCAATTATATTGATAAAAATGATGATTTGTCTGCTAACAATGGCAGTGACTCTTGTTGCACAGATGTTGTGCCAGTGCTGATTGAATACAGAGGAAACAAACCAGAAACTAACCTCATTACCTGTGTTTCTGTTTTTATAATACATGCCTACATTCTTACTTAGGACAACAAGGACAGAACATGGCTAAAAATGCGTCACTGGCTAATACAGGAGAGAAAATAAAGAAACATGTTTGAATCTTTGCTGACACGTATTCCCTTTGTTTTACCAGGAAAGTCAAAATCAGGAGTCAATTATAAAGGAACATTTGAAGTTCCGAACCTGTCTGATGAAAACGACATGGAGGACCTTGATGTGAGTTTCTCCACATACCTGCACATGTGTAGTGGTTTTAACTGAGTGGGTGGTGTAGGAACAGAGTGGTGATGCCTGTCCTGTGATGTTTGTCTAGATTTCTGTTTCGTTGAACAAAGACGAACCCGAAACGCCGCTGACCAACCTGATGAAAACGAAAGGAGCTGAGAAGGTGCGTGAAGCCCTGGGAAGCTACGTCGAGTTCTTAAAAACAGGTGAGTGAAACCAGAATCAGAAATTTAAATCTAATGTAAGACTCCATGTCTCACATTAGATCAACAATCAGACAAAGACAACCAGGGTCAAAACAAACACCTAAATTCAAGCCTGTGCAGCATTTTTCATGAGTTACACTAAACACATTTCAGGATAAAAACCAACAGAAATGCCAAATATAAATCGGCCAAATGTGAACATTTTCATTTCAAACAAAAACAACTGTCCTTTTGAAGATGTTAAAACAATCTCTTATGAACTGAAGATGTTAACGTAGTGTCTTATAAACTGACACTGTAACATGAAAATGAAGAATAGGACAGAAAGTGTCACCTATGTGATTTGGATGCTGTTGAGAATTAAACGCATTTTATTTTCTACTGCCCTTTTTTATTTTATGATCTTTGAGTGAAGCTTTTCTTGAACACGTCTTGGCAGCTCAGTCTGTCTGATGTGACAGATGAACGTAGAGCACAGTCCATATTTACATATGAGACATTTTACATAGCTAAGTTTTTGTTAAATGCTTATCATCAACATATGAGAGCCTTGTATGTTTAATTTGTTCAGTGTATATCTGATATAATGTATTTGCACATGTAAATGTAACACGTAATGTCTTCCTTTGTTGTCTCTTGTCTCTGAAGGTCACATAACAGTGTTCTCTAAGCCTAATCTATTTTCTGATATAGTTTTGTAATTTAACTATTTGTGTTTGTTTAAACTGTTAAAATTCTTAGAGTTGAGGAGTAATGATGATAAAATTGCTCTGAAGCTCAAGTTTTTTTCCCCTTTTCTTTTTACTGCAGAGTTCACACAGGGAATGATCCTGCCCACAGCCAACGGTGTGGCCAAGCCGCAGTCCACATCACAGTCCAAAGCCAAGCTGGATAAAACTCAGGTTTGTGCTGACACGCAAGAACTTCAGCCGTCAGACGAAGCTCTTGTCCCTAAATAATTTACTGTAACAGAAACATTTTTCTTGCAGCAGTGCAGCAGATCTTTGCTCACCAGACTTTTGTTCTTATCGCGTCGAACAGATTTCCTCCTCAGGCAGCACCACTGCTCCAGTCAACACCGGCGTCAAGATCCCCACCTGTAAATTCAGCATTAGAGAAACGTTCCTCACCTCACCAGCTGATCTCTACAGGGTGTTCCTCAACCAGGAGGTCAGCCTCACCTGTTAATCCTCAGTGTTTGACCTGATGCAGCTCAGAGAACATCTACACACTTTTAGGTTTTTAAGTACTTAACAGAGATTTGATGTGACTTGATGTCAGCTGTGTGACTGAAGTGTTTGTCTCGTCCGTGTGCAGATGGTCCAGGCGTTCACACATGCTCCAGCCACAGTGGATGGAGAGAGGGGCGGAAAGTTTCGTCTGTTAGAAGGAAATGTTTTCGGTGAATTTACGGAGCTGGTGAGACGAACTTTCACCCTTTTTAAACCGGAAAAAATAATATTAAATATTTAAATGTGAACGTCGACACTGTAGTGTGACAGGTTATTTAGTTATGACGGTTTTCATTCATATTGGTTATTCTTTATTCTGAATGTAAACAAAATCATCTTTCGCCACCAGGTACCTGATGAGAAAATAATTATGAAGTGGAGGTATAACAACTGGCCCTGTGGTATGTCGATTTCCTGCTTTTGTATTTACGATAAATTATCTCATGATATGTTGACTTGTTTATTCAAACTGGATTTAACTCATCTTAAGTGACAATCGCTGAAACAACAAATTAAAACTTTAAATATAATATTGATTATTTGCTCAATTAAATTAACCAGTAAAAATACTAAACATTTGCAGGTTATTTGCTTTAATCCTCTTTTATATTCCTAATATGATTTGAATATTTTGGGTTTTTTAGATGTTTGGTTAGACAGAGTGTGTTATTTAAAGACATCAGTTGATCTAATTTAAGAAAAACACTGATCATTATTCTGACATTTTATATGATTGAAGATTAATGAGAAAAAATATTCTTTGTCTCAACCCTGTCCATCAGGCAACATAACCCTGCAAATTACTGAACAGAAAATAAGAAATAGACTAATCTAAAATAATTAAAATTATTTAGAAATAACAAAATGTAGAATTAATTGATTTAAAAACTGAAATGAAGAACGTTCCCTGCCTCAGTGCTGGGTCTTAATAAAGTCTTTTGTTGGATACTTTACATTCACTACAAGCTTTTCTAATAAAGTTTACATTAAACTTTGCTGCACAGCCTCAGACACTGACGGTAACGTGATCGTTCCTCTGCTCCACAGAGCATTACGCAACAATCACGATGACCTTCTTGGACCGGAGCAGCGAGACGGAGCTGAAGGTGGAGTGTCGAGGCGTCCCGGAGAGCGAGGAGGAGCGGACGAAAGAGGGCTGGAAGAGATACTACTTCGAAGCTATTAAACAGACTTTTGGCTACGGAGCGCGACTCTTCTGAAGACGGCGTGCTGTAGTACTGTTTCTCTTTTTCTGTTTTTTGGATTTTTAAAACTTCTTGTCCTTCGATCTCTCTGGAACGAGAAGTCCCATTTGTAAACTCATAGCACGAGTTAACGAAAGAGAAGAAATAGGTGAGGCCATCCTGTCACCTGTCTGTGTACGTGTAAATGTTTTAATTTCTCAACATATTTAAATCTAGTTTCTCCCCGTCAGTATTTGGGTCAGTTTTTAAACGGAGCGTAAATGGACTGTGCCTCTGGGACTCTGGATGAAAAATACATTGAATAAAGCAAAGGAGAATTTATTGAACCACTAATGCAAATTGGCCTTTACTTCTATAAATATGTAATTATTGCAAGAGTTAAAAATAAATGTTTTCTTTTATTTGAAAAAATATTCTGTTGCTTTGAAAATTGAATGTTTATTTTTTACTTTATTTACTCTTTTCAAGTGTAACTGTAGTGACGATGCTTTCAGCCGAGATGCATGTTCCATTTCAAACTTTCAGAGGGAGGAATCACCACTGGACTTGAACCTTACACGTGTTAAAGCTAAGCAGTACTGTACGTTCAGTTGTTTCAATGACACTTGATTTCATGCACATTATGAGCCCAGCGTCCGTCTGGGGGGATCAGCTCAGCTCGGACCTTCAGCGAGAGCGTTAAGGCAAATGTTTCAGTGTTGGAAACATGAAAACAGTTTCAATCTCTTATGCAGGTAGCTAGCGTAGCAACTAAAGAGAGATGTTTTGCTATATTTGGCTTCAAACTGTAAATTTCAAGTTACAAAAAAAAGCTTTTAGAACAAAATGCATCTATTTATTCCTCATTTCATCCCCTCACAATGTAAAAAGATTAGTTTCTTGGAATAAACCAATCCCTATCTGTATGCTCTCGATTTGTTTTTATTTATGTGAGCACATCTTTTAACTTCATTAAATTTTTCATGCAGAAACGTTGAAATGAACTTATTTATTTACACATTATTTATTTTCACATTTCATATGCAAGAGTTTCCTGCGTTTTAAAACAATAATTTACAAGTGCTTTAAAAATGAAACGCTCAATAGAAACCAGAAAGGCCACTATTCAGCTAAATAAGCACTTTGTTTTTACAGATCGCTGCAGGTCACATTTTCACAACCTTTCTGACTAGAAAACAAAATTTAATAAACAAAGTTGAAAAAACTTTTCACTTGGATGTCAAATGAAATGCTCCAATATGAAAAACCAAACTAATGTCTAAATGAAATAGGTGCAAAAACCACAGACTTAATGGTCACATTACTAGATCAAAACAAAAGCTGTTAAATGTGCTGTACAAATAAAGTTAGACAAAAATTTCCTGATCAACAAAAAAGTTTTAAACTTTATAATTTAAACTATTTTCTTCAGTGCAAACTTACACACAGCATTCAAGTCCTTCATGTCCTCCTAAAACACACTGCTACAAACATGAAGGTGAAGGGCCTAATAACAAAAAGCCATGTCTTTTTTTTTTTTTTTTAAAGAAAAAAAACAAACAAATTTATCCAAAAACTAACTAACTAACAGCACATAACTTCAATATTTTCCCCCCAAAAACGATCGTCTTGTAATAGTGAATATCACTCGATGAAATAAAACTTAAATAAAGATAAACTTAATAACAAGAATGACGTGGCGGTCACAGCGGTTTCCTGGGGTTGTAAATTCAGTTATAAGCAGATGTAGAGCTCCGACTCCTGCAAGAAAGAGAGAGAGAGCAAGTGAGTCAGTAACTGGGAAACAAAATAATAAAAACGGAAAACAAGCAAGAAAACGATCCTGCCCTCAAAATCCTGTGAGGTGAATAAACTCATAATAAGTGAGGTTATTAACTAGGATGGATGTTGCTGTTTACATCTTTTACATTAGTTGTTTGTCCTCAGCTCAGACAAAGAATCAAAACTTTTAATTCACACACAAAAAAAAAAAAAAACTTTTCTCTGGTGCCACGCGACAAATTTGTGTAATGAACATTTCAGCCTCATGGGGTCGCTGTTGGAACTCGTCACCCACCAACACAAACACAACCTTATGCTGCTGAAGTGCCACTGAGCAAGAAGGTCTAACCTTTTTATTCCTAACCTAGTGTAATGGTGGCTATGAAAAAAAACAAAGACAAGCTTAAGAACATCCTTGTAATCTGTGCTCTTGTATCTTTGTAAAGATTAAAAAAATATATCCTAGTTTTTGGTTTAGTTTGCATGTCAGAGTGTTTCCAGAGTCATGATTCGTACGCTGGGGCTGGAGTCGTTGTCCAGTGAGTTGAGGCTCCTCCGCGGCAACGTTTCACCCACATCAGTCGTTTTTTTAACACAAATTTCATGACGTCTCGTCCTGGAAAACACAACATGTAAAACACAGATTAGAGAAACCAGAAAATTAATCGACCATTTTCAGATATGATTAATAATTTCAGTCATTGTTCAAGCAGAAATGTGAAGGTTTTCTGCTTTACTTTGTCTCATGACAGTTAATTTAATCTTTTCTGGTCTTGGACTTTTGGTTGAACAAAATAAGTGACTGTGAGCTCTGACATATATTAATTTATTTTTTTTAATATTATTAGATTAACCAATAATGCAAATAAACATTGCAACTCTGATACAGATTGTAGATTTAACAAACAGTTTCAATATCAGATAAAATGAGGCTTTATTGATCCCTAGAGGAGAAATGCAGGAGTTGCAGCTCAAGGACAGAAGTAGAGATAAGTGGAGAAATATTAAAAAAAAAAATGAATAGTGAGAAGTTTATAATATAAAAACAACACTAACAGCTGGTAACGAACGGTCCAATCTCTACCTGTATAACGGCCACATACTCATGCCTCTGTTGTCCTTCTGGGCTGCCGTAGATGTCGCTCGCTCCACCAGGTCTTTCAAGAAGTGGAAGAGCTTCTCTGACTCTATGCACTGCTTCCTAGAAAGCAACAGAATTAATTAATTTCCAATTCTTCATTTAAATACTTTTAAAATACATTTCCATTTAGAAAAAAAATAAAACAAGATTAATATTTTTAAACATCTATGCTGCATCCTAAATATTCTAGGGAAGTCACGCTAAGAAAATGGACAGAAGTCTGTTTGCAAACTTAATTTTCTTAATTTGAGAGTGTGCGGTAAAATTTAAATTGTAAATGACGAAGATTTAATTATTAAATATCAAGAAAGAAAAACAGTTTGACTAAAGTCCAATAGCACAATTAGTAAAATAATGCACGACGATTTCTTGTGCAGCAATTTCATACAAAATAGTCACTATACTATGAAGATAGGTATATAGTGCATACTCTATTTTATTAGTTTGGCATACAGACAGTGAACGCATCACAGCTAAATTAGTCCTGATTTGTTCTTTAATTTAAATTTATGTAAAAATATTCAGTCAGCACAGCTACAAATAAAGAAAGTTAGTGAGTGTTTGTATAAACTGTATGAACTAAACAGACAGAAGCTGATTAACATCATGTTAAATAAGACGAAGCCAGTTATTTCTTGTAGCGAAGACAAATAACTGTCGCACCTGTGTGAAGGTGGAGCAGCAAAGTTACTTACATGTGAGCTACAGACACGACCGTGCTGAGCTTCGACTGAGTTATCAGACAGGCTTTGGTCAACAGAGACTTCAGGAACATCTCCAACGCCCGAGCTGATCTCTGTGGTTCAGGACTTCACAGCTCCACAACACCACACACACATCTCTGCACGTCTGCTCTGACACACACTCACAGTTCAATGGAAAATATAGTCACTGTCTTCCATTTATATGACAGTTTCCTCCAGGATCACAGCAGGAAACAGATTGTATCACCTGCAGGGATATTTTTCCTCCATTTTATTGAATTATTTAATGTTGTATGATTGTTTTTTATTTATTAATCCCTCATTTAAAAAATAGCAGTGCATTAAGCTGAGTAGGTGGTGGCTCTCGCTGCCTCACAGAGCTGCAACACCTGGAAAAAACATCAGTTTTAGTGTCCAAAAATGTAGTTTCAAAGGCTTTTCTAACGGGACAATAACATACAGCATACAATAATGCATAGCTAACATACTTTTATATAATAAAAGTAACATACTGGAGTTTAAGTATTTAAAACACTAAAATAGCTCAACTATGGCAAATCCTCAAGTAAAATGCAGTTTTAAAAAAAACTTCAGTTTTAAAAAACTTTAAAAATAGATTTTAATTTTGGTCTGTATTCAAGAGGTGTTGTATGTCATGTGTTAAGCAGGGTTCAGCCACATAGGTTAGCGTTTGATCAATGGCATAATGGAGGGACTACAACTCCCAGCATGCCTGGCAACCCTTAAGGAAGAGTTGGAGGAAGACAGGGGGAGAGGGCTGCTGCAAAACAGAGGGATAAAAGATGAGTGAAAAGCCCGTCTCAGCACCGATCAGCTTCACTTCTACAGCTGCAGGTTTAAAATAGGATACAGATGATCACAGGAACCGCCATCGCAATCCTCCCCACCTCTGTGTCCTTCTGCATGATCTTTTTGACACGACTCTGCGAGCAAAAACAAAAGATTTCACTCCAGTAGACCACAGAAATTACAACTAAGTTAAGATGCTGCATTCAGGTGCTCCTTGTAAACTCCTGTTCCCTAGATCTCAGGTAGTGGATTCAACATGATTTCATTTGAGTTGATGAATGATGCAACAGCTATTTAAAACATAATAAAGGTTTAACAGTTTATTAGTCCATATAGGATTATTTTTGATGTAAAAATAGGTAAAGTGCATGAACACGAGGACTCCAAGATTTGCATGAAAGGTGACACGACAAAGAGGTGGGGAAAAAAATAAAATGAGCCGTGTTGGTCAGTGGTCACCTTACATGCACTTTACAGACGGTCCCTAACTTCAGCTAGTCTTTATCTGGTTGCCAACCGCCAATGAACACCAAAGAAGAAGAGGGAGCTTGTCATTTCCCCTGTGAAAGGGCGGCTCGCACAAGGTTTTCAAAGCTTCAACACCTGTGCAGCTTCAGTAAAACTGCACAACAAATGAGTCTGAGAATAATGGAATCACCCCAAAGTGATCGGGGTTTAACCGCTGAATGTCCGAATAACTGTTTACGCGACTGCTGTTGTTTACCCTCGAAGATAAACAAGATTTCCGACAGCCCCTGAACGCAGCAAGTGCTACTACACTCCATGCTTGAACGTGAACGGAGTTAGCAGTTAGCATGTAGCCCGTCATTCGGCTTCTTTAACAGCTTTAATTCACCAGAATAAAGTTTGTACTCACAGGGGGGAACCGTACATTATATCTTCTCTTCTGCCCGGGCATTTTACTCGCTTCAATCCGCGCGGCTCGATCACATTTTTCATGTTTTTACCGCAAACCGCCGCGGAGTCCATTTGTTTACCTTCAGCAGGAAGACACCTGAAAAACTGATGGAGAAAAAAATACCTGAGGTCAACGCCCGTGACCCCGATAATCACGTCATGACCCTCGCACTGTGATCATCAACAAAAATATATCATATAATAAAAGAATTTAATTAAAACCTGGGGTTTAAATGTTTGATAAATGCCATTCTTTTACACATAAAGTAAGTCTATTCAAATTATTAGCTATTCATGTTGAATAAAGAGTCATGTATTTGTCTTAAGCCACAAACAGTGGAATAGTGGAAACAAGTGTGGTCTGTGATAAATATTGAATTACTAAGACTATCTACACACATAAAATAAGGAAAAAAAAAACATTGTTTTCCCAACAAATCAGTTGAAGTTCAAAAACAACTAATATATTACTTTGATAAATACAAGCACATTCATTATTCTGTGTTAGTTTGATGTAATACACATAGTTTTGTTGGAATTTATTTATCACTGACACCATGCACATCACTGTGCTGTGAAAGTCCTAAAACAAGACAAAAAAACATTATGTCATATATAATGTGGCAGAACACAGCATAAAATTAAACCTGTTAAAAGCACATATGACAACAGTGGAGGCTAACTAGAAAAGGATGAATGACACATACTCATACACACTCAGAAAAATAAAATAATAGTAGCACAGAACAGTAAAAATGTTCAATGCATGAAACCATTTAAAAATCTGCGTCTCACCCTGAGTCAGTTCAGTTCAGCTGATTCTACAAGATCTGATTCCTTATTTTGAGACATGGTCTCAGTTAAATACATTACAACCAATAATATTAATATGTAAGTTTAGCTTTCAGCTTGTTTAGCTTGTTACTTTTTTATTTTAGTTTGGCTTGAGTCTGATTTAAGCAAAGTTTAACTGGTCTCCTCTTCGTAATCCATGTTGTTTACAGTTGGTACATCCATGTGAATTCATCATATGTACAAACACGCACTTTATTAATTTGGACTTTACATGTTTACAATCATAAATTGATTATCTACAGTATATTACTAAGTGTGGAACACTCTGGCTTTACTAATGGCTGCAAAGGTCAAAGATAAGACTCATCATTATTCATTTCAAAGGTTATACCTCTCTAGTAAAGCTTCAGACCAGCAGTAAAAAACTCAGTATTAATATTTCTCTCTTTCTTATTGGAATACGGAAACATGCTGCACTGTGTGCTGTTTGTAGTCTGTGTATTTACCACATGTCATGTCGGCGGTAGGTGATAAAATACATATGATTGTATTCTCTTGTTTTGTCTGTATTTACTGTGAAACTCACCAACTTCACTGCACCTCTTTTAATCTGATGCTTCTACGGTTTGGGTTTAAACGGGATCTGAAACAAAATCTGTCTAATTGTTCTTCTCTCTTGCAGGCGGCACATTGAGTGGAGAAGAGGACACTTTCAACCAGGTATTGTCTCTGTCTAAGACATTCAACACAGCACAACCTGATGAGATCACACAACAAAACCATTTTAATTCTCAGCACCTGTTTTACATTCTTAAAATGGATCCATGTGGTTTATTTGTCAGCAGAGAGCAGTGGTCACAAAGCTGCTGTTTGTTTGTTGTGGTCACTATCAGTCTGTCTGAAATGTAAAGAATGGTTAGTTTCATTTTTATTAAATATCAGACAAGTTCACTGACCCCAGCCACAATGTAGTTGATAGACGCTAGATGCTAGACGATGCAGCTAATTAGTAAACTATTATCTGTGTGTTTATTAATTTAATTGTTTAATAACACATTTTGTAAATTAATACATTTAAAGGTCAAATAAAGAAGTTTCATACCAAGATGTGAAACCTCTGAGAATCACCACTGAGTACTGATAGATTGTTCTTCTTTTAACTATAAAATAGGTTCATTTCAATCATTTCATGTTGCGTAGAAGCAAAAGCTGGAGTTGGTTTTACATTTTGACTTTCAGGTGATTACGGTACCGAGGAACAGCTCTGTGTCAGGTGATCTTCCTCCGTGACTTTGTGGGAACAAAAGCAGCAAAATTCCTCGTGTAAAAGACCAAACAGGTTTTGAAAGTTTTACATGTGACGGCTGCAGAGTGCGAACACAGTCAAGTTTAACTGCGGCTGAGTGCCGGCACACTCGGCTGTGTTCTATGACTGAGAGGCCAGATGTGGGCCACCTCTGGCTAATACATGGCTGCCATATTTAAGTGAAGGGTTTTTGAGCAGCTGATTTGGGCTGAGAATGCAGCACTCAGATTTTAGATCAGTAGAGCAGGTTTAATATTGATCATGAGTCTAGTTGGGTGGAGACATGTTGACATGATGCTGGGTGACGACATGAGCCGGAGCCAGTATCAGAATGACCACGTTAGAGCGGAAACACTGGAAGTTCTGCAAAATGTCTGCAAATTTTCATGCTGTCGCCGGTTTTTCTACATTCTTGAACAGGATAACTCAAGAACAACACACAGCAGAAACCTCATTCTTACACCACAGGTGCTCCATGTGGAGAAGATGATCTGATGAGATTTTGGAGCGGTTTTTTCTGAGCTAATTTGCATTTTAATAAGGAAACACTGACTTCCCAGAAATCGCTGTAACTGCTGAACAAGTTCAAATTGATACTAGATATGCAGCAGGCAAAGACAAACCTGTTGGGATAATAAATCTTTACTAATTATTGAGCTGATTATCTTAATTAATTCTTGTGAACATAATAACTCAAGATCTGCACACATACACCACAGGGACTCCATATGGTGCAGATGATCTGATTAGATTTTGGTGTGTGTTGCTGCATAAATTTGCATATTAATGAGGCAAAACTGATTTTTAAAACTATCTAAGTTACGATTCTTGATGATAGACGACTAGTGCTGTGAGGATATGTGTTCTTTTGTCGTGGAGATCATGACACGATCATGCATTTCACCTTTATTTAAGCAGGAAAAGCCTCATTGAGATCAAAAGCATCCTGGCCAAGAGAGGCAGGTTTTAACAGTGAGCTACAGGCATTAGCAGGATAAACATGAACAACATGGAACAGATCACATTAAATACGCTACAAAATTAGATTTACATAAAAATGTGATTATAAAATCATCAATAACATTTCTAATACAAAGATTACATCCATAAAAACAACCTAAATGACACATCTCTTCAACTTGACTCCTGACGCCACATTAACGGTGTGAGTGTGTGTGTGTGGTTTTCCTGCAGGATGTTTTGGGAGCAGATTTTCTCCAGCGTGATCTGCATCCTCTGTTCCACTGCCCTGATATGAGTCCGTCTCCAGCCGTCCCCACCTCAGGTGACTGTCCCTCCACCAACGTCTGTGGTGATATTAGTTAGTTCATTAGTTTTTGGTCCCAAACAGCAGAAAAACCTCCACTGAAGTGGTTCGTACTTGCTGAGGAAAATGACTCCTTTGCTTTATATCTGCCTTTTTAAATCTTTGAGCCTCATAAAGTTTAATGTTTGAATGTGACATAGATCATCTGTGTGCATGTGCAAGGTGCAGGGCGTCTCTGAAATTCAGGTGAAAATATAAACTAAAGTATTGTTTTTATCCCTAACAGGGGTATCATGCTCTTTATTGTGCCTTTAATATTGCACTGAGGGATTTTAAAAAGGCATAAAGGGAAGAGTATCAGGAGAATAACCGGCACAGCTGAATCTTTATATTTATGTTTATTGGAAAAAATATAAAGGAAGAGAAAGCAAAAGCAAGTACTGCAAGTTAGACATAAATAGAATTAAAAAAAAAACAAACAATAAAACTGTGAAAAATTTTAATAAAAAATATAAATATCATACAAATATGTACAATGTGCAATAAACATGTTTCTGACTATTTCTCCTGGTTTTCCTTCTGTTTTAGTCGAATACGTCAAAGCTGCAGACGTCAAAGTCATCGCTGCACTGGGAGACTCTTTAACTGTGAGTGAAGTGGCGTTAAACTAACAGACGTAGTAATAAAACTTTATTTGGGTATTTGATGATTTAATTGGGAACTCTATTAGTTTGTACTGGCAGGGAAATCACCACAAGTTTGGGTTTTTTAATGGCTGCAAAATAAAGTAAAACAATCCCATCAGTTTTTATTGTGAAATGTTGTTTGATCCTGCGTCTTTTTACAAGTGTATTGGTTGGATTTTATTTTAAAATCTCCTGCTAAAATATGTTTGTGTTTAATGACATTTTAACCAATGATGCCACTTTTCTTCATAAAATCTTTATCCATCAGTCGAGACAAACAGGGCAGAGCCTCACTGGTTCAGAGAGAAGCAACAGCTCATCACATAATAACTCTGCCTTGTTTGACCATACAAACCGATAGATAATAAATAATAGATAATCGATAATTGAGATAATGTCCTTTATTAGAATCATCAGTCAGGATCTTTATGTGTCACTTCAGGAAGTCAAAGTATTTTATCGATCTGGAAATAATCTTTTTTTGTGATTTAAACACACAGGCTAAAACACTTTATTGTTTTTATTACTGCAAAACTTATTAATATTGCAACAGAATTGATTAAGATTTTTGTCTGTATGTGTTTTTATTGCAGACAGCTATTGGTGCCAATGGATCAACAATTTTCTCAGTTCCTTTTGAATTTCGTCAAGTGTCGTGGAGGTGAGTCGGACCGCGGCTGATCACACGCTCCACTTGAGATCATCTTTTTATCTTTATCTTTATCATTCTATCTTTATCTTTATGTTTTTATCTTTGGTGTTTTCCAATCCACGATAGCTTTCCCTCATTCCTGTTATTATTGTTTTATTTTTATTGTGTTGTTTTTTATTTATAACACAGTAATTTATTGCTCTGTGTGTGGATGGAGTTATTGTTTTACTTTACTTTTATTCAATAAAGCATTTTGTGTTACATCGTTTGTATGAAAGGTGCTTTACAAATAAAGTCTGATTGATCGATTGATTGATTTTTAACTTATGCCTCTCATCAAGATCTCCATCTCTTGAACAACATCAGTTCCCTGTCAGAGCTAATCATGACATTATTCACCCTATTTAACTTTATCTTATCTAGCCAGTCCTTTTATGGCTTATTATATGGACCCATTACATGGATTCTTCATATGATAATAATTATTATTATGATTCATGTTTTTATTGGTGTCATTTCTCTTTCTTTCTCTGTAGCATCGGAGGTTATGGGACTTATCAAAATGTCATTACACTGGCAAGTAAGTTCATTTATACTGAGTACATAAGAATATAAACACACTGGCTGGAACGAGTTAGTGACCTAGCCTGGTCCTTTCTTCTTTCTTATGTAGGTTTGTGGGAAAATGATTCTTTAGCTGAGATTATTTCTGATTCCAAAGAAACTAAAACTAAAACCAACTTTTTAATAATGCTTTTCTTTAAGCTCAAATGTAGGTAAATATTGGAGAAAATCACACATTCCTCTCTGCTTTTTATTCATGTCAGATGATCTGAAACTAATCTGTCGACTCGTTTCTGTCTCTAGATATTTTTAAACTCTTCAATCCCAAACTGCTGGGTCCGTCCCCGGTGATGACGTTCCACGGTCAGCCCACAACTGTCAACGAGACCGGCTTCAACTTCGCCGTCACCGGCCACAACACGCTGTGAGACTGTGTCTTACTTTGTCTCTCTGCTTTTTATTCTTGTGTTTTCTCTTGGGGATTTTTCTCTTTCCTTCCGTCTGTTCGACTCGCTGTTGATGTTTTAGAAACTCAGCTGTGATTGTGTTCAATGTCAAAACAGTCAAAGGAGGAAAATGTTTGATTTTGTGGAGCTATAACTCAAATCAGAGAGAATATATATCCATTGTTTGTACCACAACTGTAGTCCTAAAGTTCAAAGATCAAAATAATTAAATCTGTAAATGATTTGATATAAAAATGATATTGTTTTATTGAAGTTAACTTCTCCTACAGGAACGTCTCAGATCAGATACGACACATGATAGATACGTTCAAATCTTATCCAGTAAGTCTCTGGGTTCAACCTTTATTCTTCTATAAAATGATCAATAATCTTACTTTTCCTCTTTGTGCACCAGCTGCAGTAACAACTCAATGACCCAAAGTTGGTTCTTTTCTTCAGGGTCTGAACTTCCAGGAGGACTGGAAGGTGGTGACGATGCTGATCGGCATGAACGACATCTGTGATTACTGTAAAAACAAGGTGAGGAGGGGTGGGCGGATTTGCTTTTTTCTTTTTATTCAATCTGCATTTGTTGCACACAGCTCAGTCCAAGCGAATAGTTTCGTTTCATTTCATTATTTTTGTCCTGAGATCTCACGGTTTTAAATTCAAACCAAACCACACATGAAAATTCTCCCCGTCTCACTTTGCCTCGCTGATGTAGCGTCGTACTGCAGGGTGTGTCAGTGCAACATGACGTGACTGCAGGGTGTGGTTACAGGTGTAACAAAGGAGGCTTCTGACCACACCCAGCAGCTGTGCCAGGTGTGGTCAGAGGTGAAACTCTCAACCAGAGCGAGACAGACAAACACTGCATTAAGTTAATCTCTATATCTGATGAATGTCCTGTTAGAAACCTGTATCTCACCACACTTTTATTCTTGTCAGGATGGAAAAATCATATGATTGTTCATTTACAGACTATTCTCCAACTAGTCAGTGGCAGGGGAAAGAATCTGATATATATCAGGCCTGTACATGAAAAGATAATAAAACTGCATGTGATCCTCTTCTGCTCAAACTCTCCACAGACTTTGTTTTCCCCCGACAGCTTCATCCACTACATGACAGAAGCTCTGGACCTGATGATGAATGAGGTAAAAAAAAAACAAAAACACACCTCACATCAGAACAAAGTAAGAAACAAGATGAAATGTTCACAGCCAGCTTCATTAGCATCCAGTCACACCTGTGTGAAATCCATTTTACTCACAAAGAAGGTGATGCTGGTTGTTACTTGACTTCTGACAGAAGTCATTGAAGTGAGTGTATTTGTGCTGCCTGCTCCGGTCCCATGACTGTTTTGTGGAGCAGTTTATACTCAGGCCGAGCAGCATTATACAAAATAAGATAATATGATAATCTCCTGCGTTTTGAACTCTCTGAAAGGACGGCACTGTTAAGACGCTGCTAAATTCAACCTAAATCAAAACAACTTTTTCTTTGTGGCTATTTAGGACTTTACGAGCATTTAAAAGCAAGTACATAATCAGTTACTAAACGGTTCATAACACGCTGTAATTGTGAAGTATTATTGCAGAAGTGTTTGTCAACAATTATAACGTGTCCTATGACGACATATTTCATATTATGACAGTGTTTTATTACACTATATCACCAGCCTCCTGTGATCATCCATCACAGGAGGAGTTACAGTTCTTGATAAATGTTTATCACTACATTATAATGTGTTATAAAACATTTAGTAAATGTTTAAATATTATTAATGTTACATCATCTGTTCTTCATCCAGTCATTCTAAGATGGTGTCGGCCGCTGCCTCTTAGTCATCGGCATTTAAATGAGCTTCTACAGCTGTGTTATGTATTTGGATCAAATTGTCAACAAATGAAACTAGATACGAACAAACTGTGTAAAGTTTTTTATTTTTATCTTAAATTAGCTGAATCAGTTGTATTAGTGTTAATGCTGGATTTTTCCATTTCATATTCATTCAGCCAGTTTCGCAGATGAAACACACACATCAGGTTCTCTGGTACAGTGATGGTGTAGTCTTGTCCTGACCGTAGCTTTGTGTGGTTGTGCGGTGGTGGACATGTAGACATTTGAACACCCGCTTTTAAGGAACTGAGTTCATGAATGTGGTCTTCCGGTTCCAGATCCCCAGGACCATCGTGAACGTGGTGCAGATTCTTTCCATGAAGCCTCTCAGAGAAGTTCAGAGGCCGACTGTGGGCTGTCAGCTCCAAAGGTCAGCTGAAACACTTTCCTCTTTTGCTCTGTTTATTCCTATTAAACATCATCATCATATACACTGTAGTATTACATCATATACACTATAGTATTACATCATATAAACTGTAGTATTTCATCATATACACTGTAGTATTTCACTAGTATTGTAGTATATCATCAGTGCTGTAGTGACTACAACAGTGGATCCATATCTCACCTGTCCGACTTCAGTTTCCAGATCTGATGAGATTACAAATCATAACTGATCTGATAATCTGATTATGTGTTAACCTGATGAAATGATAATCCAATAGTGTGATAATCTGATAATCTGCTCACAGGAGTTTCTGCTCTTGTCTCATTCAACCTGAAGAAAACTCCCCCGAGCTGAAGGAGCTGGTTGAGACTAACTTTGAGTTCCAGGTGTGTGTGTGTGTGTGTGTGTGTGTGAAGCAGTTTCAGGTCATCATAACTGATTATACAATGTCAGAAAATGGTGACAAATGTCCGTCTCAGGTTCTTAGAGTCCAAGATGACGTCTTCATATGTCCAACCAACAGATTTTCAGTTTACTATAGAACAGAAAAGCAGAGAGTCTTCGTCTTTGAGAGGCTGAAAACAGCTTTTTGTTCTTGCATTTTAGCTTAAAGATGAAAAAATGGTTGCAGCTCTAACTAGAATAGAAAGTGTGGTTGTGTAGTCTACAGCTGAGATGTGTTCATGGAAATCAAAACAAGTTGTGGTGGACAGTTTTTGACCAAGGCTCAACTTTTTAAAACATTTTTAACATTTATTTAACTTCCCTTGTTTATAGAGAAGATTAGAGAAGCTTCTGCACAGCGATCGCTTCTTTAAAAAGGACTTTGCTGTTGTTCTGCAACCTTATGTAAAGAACACACAACCAGCGAGACTTCCTGTAAGTCACACACACACAATCTTATTTTAAAGCTTTTACATTTTTTTTTTCCTTTTTTATTTTTTTTTTTTTTTTAACATCTTCTCTCTTTACTGCAGGACGGGACACTTGACTTGAGCTTCTTCACGGCAGATTGTTTCCACTTCACTGTTAAGGGACACGAGAAGCTGGCAAAGGGACTGTGGAACAACATGGTAAAGTTTTATGTTTTTAAAGTTGTAATGATTATGTTTAGGTAACTGTGACAGATAGTTGTAGTAAGGTAAAAGTTTGGTTTAGATAAGGTTAAACTCCACGTGAAGTCACTTCAAATACAGCAGGTTGCTAAGACGAATATATTGATATTTCTATCAAATGTTTTGAAGTGAATTAATCAGGTTATAGTCCTGGTCATTTTGGGACATTTTGTTCTTTTAAAGCTATGATTTAATAATTATGATACTGACCCTGAAAATTAATCGGCATGTTTCCTTAGTTCCAGCCTGAAGGAGGGAAAGAGATGATAAAGACATTTGATGAGCAGATAAAACTCATCTGTCCACCGAAGGTACAACACGACCGACACAATGAAGATTTATAAATGTGATGTCTGTTCATAAAGCTCATTTTCCTCACTTTTCTGCAGGAGCATCCGTATATTTACACCAAACCCCGAGCTGTATCGTCTGCAGCGGCACTGAAGCATTTCTCCCTGATGCTGATGTCTCTGCTTTCTGTGTTTGTCCCGTTTCATTTACTGTAATTCGACTCAACAAAAGCTGAGTCCTGCTGGAGCCACCAAACCCACAACACAAACACTAGTGGAAGTCTAAAGGTATATAACAAAATATAGGTAGTATTTATAATTCTCGTCACAGATCTACAAAACTCTTCATCTTCTGACATTTGCTCACAATAAAAATAAAGACGTTTTAATCAATGACTCCAGAGTGAGATCACTATGGCAACACACACATCTTCATATCTTCTGTTAATAAACTAAAAACTTGAAACTTATTTATAAATTTCAGCATTTACAGAATAACTGAATCCTCTCGTTACCCAGCTGCTGAAAGTGCTCTCCCGAAAAGACAGATTAAAGCTAAGATTTTATGTCTTGCAGATGTTGTTGTGTATATGTATAGTGAACTGTTCATCTGTCCACATGATAACAACACTGGGACACACTCGTGATTTGAATATTCTGTGGACTGTTTATTTGCAAATAATCTGGATAAAGTCTGGGTAATAATGAAGATCATTCAGTGAAAGGAACCATTATTCACTCATTACTGACATTAATCCACTATTACAACATAATTTACTGTAATTTGATGCTGTCATTTGCAAGAAAAACATAATAATTATTAAGAACTGTTATAGCAACAAAGAACTTAATAAAGACATCAAAGAACTTATCACTTTATACATTTCCTACAGGATTTTTAATGATTGGTCAATATAAAGTTGGATTTTCTGTCTTACTGTCTTATTTCACTTTAATTAATTAATTTTAATCAGTTTTTTTATATAAATTTTGGATTCTATTTTCCTTTTTTTTATGTGAGGCACTGAACTTAGTCCCCTATAAAAAGGAAGATTATTTTATATTGTACATGCTGTTTCTCTCATTTTAATATGATTACATCAGAATTTCATGAAGGCAGGATTTACTGCAGGACTACTATAATTACTACTTACTATTTGTACTTAATAAACTGAGTGTATACACTTCAGTTTAATATACAAACTGTACAATACATGTTCATATTAATCATTATTATCAAATGTAAATCTAATCCGTCTGTGTATACTGTACTAAGACAATGTTTGCACATGCACTGTGCACAAGTAAGTTAATCCTTGCCTAAACACTTTGCCACTAAAGCTGATTATGACTCTAGAAATAATCATTAGCTATACTCAAAGTTTTTCACCTCCATATTATATAGAACATGTTGGGTTTTCTTCCTCAAAATTTCAAATTACTGTCAATATATATATATAATTTAATAATAATAATGTAGTAAAATAAAAGTGTTTGTGTTGCAGTAGCGCGCTGTGGCCGCGGGGGGCAGCAGAGCCACTGTTTACAGGCAGAGAGCAGCAAGCTGCACGAGCTCTTAGCTGGTAGCGTGGAGTTGGAACCAGAGACCGAGAGGAGGTCGCTGTAGTAGTTTGTAAAAAAAAGTTATAGAAACTCGCAGGTGAAGCCATTCAGCTTGTGTCGTTTACATGGTGACAGATTACGGACTCAGAGGTAACTACTTGTTGGTATGAAACAGTATATAAGGGCGGTAAATAACTACATTTAGCTCGGGCTCGCGGACTTCTGCATGGTCGCTAGCTAGCTAACGGTTAGCTACAGGAGCTACTTGGTTAGCTGGCTAGCGAGGTCCAGCCCAAAAGTTGTTTACCTCAAGTTGTGGATGTGGTCACCCCCTGAGCTTTTCACGACTTTTCTCTGGGATAGGAGAGCAAGGACCAACAATTCACACTGGATTTAACACTGTGCGCTGTTAGGAAACTAGCAGGATGTCCACAGAGGTTGAGTGTAGTCAGGTCGACTCCGGTTTGACAGCGGCCAGCTGCGGCGGAGCGGAGGAGAAGAACCAAAACAAGTCCGAGGGGCAGAAAGAGCATCAAGAACAGGGGCAGAAAGGCTCGGAGAAACCACTACAAGATGGTCACAGCTCCGAGGCAGCCAAGAGCCCCGCGGACACGCACAAGAAATGCAAAGAAAACGACAAAGAAAACGACCAAAGCAGCAACGCTGACTCGGCTGTTGAGGCGGTGAAGAGGAAAGTTGTTGAAGCCCCTCCGCCGAAAGTCAACCCGTGGACGAAGAGGACCACGGGCAGAGTGCCGATCAACAATATCAGCTCCCAGGAGAAAGGTGAGATGGGTTTTTTTAATTACCTCACATGATAATAACAGATTGTGTTGACTAAACTTTACAATATGGTTACTGCTCAGCACGCAGCTCCCCCAGCTGAGCACGTTGTTGCAGCATTTTGACAGCTTCACTGCAGGGAAATCCACTTTAACCTGAACACCACGGGCCTGTCATACCTCATTTGGGCTTATTTAGAGCTGAATGAAGTGCATAAACTTGAATGTCAGCGCAGTCAAGAGGTGTTGATGGTGGCATACAGTATTTGCCCCATCCCCCCCTGTGCTCGGATTGCTCCGGAGCACCACGTGTTGATTGCTGACAACTGCTACTTCTTTAGCCTGTAACTTAGCTACTACCAACGGGCTCTCACACTGCTTTTCCCTTCTTGGAAATGCCAGTGACACAGTGCCAGGGCTAATGTGGGTTAAATACAGCACACGGGGAAGCTCAATCTGGGCCAAAATCAGCCTCAAGTTTGTGCAGCAGGATTTGACTCGGTGTATAAAAGCTAAGACTGCCAGGCTAACTGCTCCTGCTGCTGAAAAGACACGTTTTGCATGTCCAATGGCCTGGCAGCCTGCAGTTCCTCCCACCAGCCTGCTCTTTACTGTCACTAGTGAAAGCACAAGTATGTGAAGAAGGTGGCCAGACAGGTGGAGAAGTTGTAGTAGGTGTGGGTTGTAATCTAATGACTATGGATAGTGGATTGATTTTGGATTATCTATGTTAGTTTTTGTCGTGTACCACTTAATCATTCACAGTAGAAAAGATGCCTCTCAAAATTTAACATACCTCCCCAATTGCTCAGACTGACAAACAAAAAAAATCTACACTTTTTCACTGAGAAAATTATTATTTTTATTATCAATTAACAATAATATGTATTTATGGAACCTTCTATGTGTGAAAATCATCTCAAAGTGTTTTATCTTTAAAAAATGTAAAGAGCTGACTTTTTAAATTAATCTATTGATCCTCCTCTTCTGATTGATTGCTCAATTGTTTGTAAAATTACAATAATGAAAATGAAGCGCGGTGTCTTCAGATGTACGATCAACGGTTGGAAACCCAAAGATGTTCAGTTTCCAGAGTTATAAAACCGAGAAGAAAAAAGCAAATCCACAGAATTAAAGAGGCACTCCAATTTTACACAGGAAGTTCAGTTCATCTGTCATGATGCCATAGATCAGATCGGGGTTTACTTGTTTTCAACTGCGTTACAAACTCAGGGTGCAGAGTTTGGAAGAAGTGGATGTTTGTCAGATGGGGGTTCTAATGGAAGGCACTGTTGCATCATGGGAAATGTAGGATGCAGGGTTTTTTTTGTGTGCTACTCATACTTAGGACTAAAAATCAGGCATTGCAGTTGATCCTGCTTCAATTTTATCTATATTTTACTTTCTTATAGACTCGACTTCATGAAAGTTTAACTTTGAATTAATCATTAATTGCTGGAGTTCCCTTTTAATAATCAAATATCAGAATTGGATTGATTAACTTTCTGTCCATCTGATCAGCTAACTGATTAATAATCTAATCTTTTCATTACCGATTTAAATGTTGAAACAAAAAAGACAGTTCACTTCACATGTAAGAATTTATTGATAAAGCTACTGATTCATTGTGTGGCCATATTTATTTGGTTGGCTCTGAAATAGAAGCAGACGTCCTGTTGAATTCAGACTGTTCAACTAAATTTGAGTTGTGAATGTGTGTCAGAGCCCGGAGCGAGCAGGGGAGCTATATTTGAAGTGTTCGACTCTGGCAAGAGCACAGGCATCATTTTACAGCGTAACTGTACAGACAGCTCTGTGGGTGGACGTCTGCAGGCTCAGTCAGGCATACACCCATTCATGTGGAAGCCTCGGCCCTGCGTCTCTTATCAATCCGACCATCCTCTGCCGAGCGATATGGACTGTCAGGCTGCAGCGGGCCACTCCCAGCCTGCAGCTGCCTGCGGAGACGCAGCCACATACCGCCACTGGTTGTACACAAAACACCCTCAACTAGTTAAGTTGCTCAAGTCCCTGGAGTGAGGCGGTATTTATTCATTCTGAACTGACAAATTCCCAGTGCTGTACACAAACAGCACAGTATGCAAGAGTACATGACTTTTTAACTCCAGGGTTGAGCAACCTTCCAGGCTGGCATCCTTCTCGCTGGTGTTGTTGAATTAAGACTGTGGTACAGGGATTAAAACTCTTTGGATTTAGGCCTGTTCTGGTAAATAGCATGATGTCACTGTCACTCATTGATTCTGTATCTGCAGATCAACAAAGTGCTCTGAAAGTCGTCCGTGCCAGCAAGCCCAGAACGAGAAAATCCAGCAAGGTAATGGTCTTTACTTGTGTTTTTTTTTCCTTTTTATAATCTGTCAAAGTTTCTCTGTTAGACATTGAAAATATCACCAACATGAAGTGTCCAAAACCTGTAGATGACAGGTTTAATGTCATTTTTATATCTTGATAATTAATCCCAGAACAACACTGTTGTAGTCAAACCGAACAGAAGTCATAAGTAATGGTTGTGTTGGAGTGCTGCCTGTCTTTCACTTGTAAATAAACCAACATGTTTGGCTTTTTAAAGTGATCATATGTTCAGATTTCACCATTGTAACTTCTGCCAGGTTGCGACTTGCAGGATGGGAAATTAACATCTGTTGCTAGCCAAATGTTAGCTGGTCTAAGTTGCTGACTGGTTGTTTTGTTTGCTTTTCCAACCAGTTTTTCCACCACAATTGTGTCAAATTAATGGTTGTAAAGAGAACAAATAATATGAAATGTGTCAAAATGTTAAACAACATTTTGCCTATCGGCTTCAGATAGGTAATGAAACAGGGGAAGTGTTGACATCTGTGACTGTGAAAAGGAAAGAAACTTGACAGTCAGAGTGTTATCTTCAACGCTACAGTTTATGTACTGAGGATTGGGACATTTTCTCTCCACTTTTTTACATGTGCTCTTAAAAATGTTATTATATATGTGTAGTTACAGTGGGACACGTTCACTTGACTGGTTTTGACCTTCCCGCATACATTGCATTTTTCCTTACATTGTACCCTGATGACCCAGAATGCAATTTGTTGCCATTTTCATGGTCAAAGTCAAGTCAGTCACATGCCAGAGGTGACTGGTTACATTAAAGCTGCACAGTATTCACATTCTGTCAAGGCTAGGTGGCATGTTTACAATATATAAATAAATGTACTGTATATATAATGTTAACATGGATATGTTTTAATATATCATAGTGTGGAAAATGTTTGCACTTTTTTTCTTTGTATGTGTGAAGAAGAAATGTATTAGAGCGGATTAGAGAGAATTAGAGCGGCAACTAACAATTATTTTCATTATCGATTAATCTGGTGATTAATTTCAAGATTCAAGGAGCTTTATTTGTCCTCAGGGGGCAATTTTAAAATGCACCTAGACACAAACACAACCAATGCAGCACAAACTGTACAACATCAGTGCAAAAAAAACAAAAACCTGAAATATTATTATCAGAACAATAACATGGAGAATTGTATTACCAGTGCAAATAAATAACCAGTTATTTCCTCAATTAATCGATTAGTTACTCGCTCTCAGCAAATAGCAAAAACCACTGTAAAAACCACTACAGTCCACTGTAACATCCTTAAATGTCTTGTTCCGTTCCACCAATAATTTTAAACCCAAAGATAATTAGTTTACTATCAAAATAAAATAAGCTGGAACCAGAGAATTTTGTTGGAGCCTTAAAACAATTGATTGATTATCAATACTGTTGCTGATGAATTTTCTGTCAGTCAACTAATCAATTAATTGACTATTCACTGCAGTTCTAATTCAATTTACTATGACCAGACAAAAACAGCAAATCCTCCCATTTAAGAATAAAATATTTGGCATTTTTACTGGAAAAATAAATTAATCAGTAATTGATTCTCAAAATAGTTGCAGATTAATTTCGTTGCAATTGATTGATCATTGCAGCTCTACTCATCATCAATCATTCATTTGGATGAGAAAACAAATGTGAAGGAAGTTAATGTTAAGATATGTTGTCATCATGAGTAGTTCACACACACGTGTCGTAAACACTGCTGGATTTAAAGTGTTTAAAAAAGGCGGCTATGCAAATGTTTAATGAAGCAGGAAATCCATTCATTAGTTTGTTAGAACACAATGTGTCTGGTGAGGAGCACCGAATGTAAACAGAGGCCTTGTTTGTTTATGAGGAAACTCCACAGGGCGACTTTAATTCACTGTGAACCGAGTGTAAATAAAACCCAATTTAAAACAGAAAATCTGAGCTTCACTCCCACATTGACTCCAAGGTCTATCTTTAACATGAAGTAACTAAATAATTGCTATTAAAGTTTTCTTTTTTCTTTTGAATACAGCAGTTATGTTTGTAAACAGTGGGACAGCAGGCCTGTATATTCTGTTAATGTTAGTTGACAAGCACAAACAGATTTTTCAACTGTAAAATCAGTGATGTTTGTCCATTTCACCCCAAATTTTTTATGGTCAGAAATGAAGAATCAGGCTTTTAGCTGCTGCCGTTTGTCTTTTGTGTTGTTTAAACATAGTCACTTATCTTTTTTTTGTTTCATCTTTCACTGATAATAAATAGGATTTGGGTGAACTGTCCTTTTAAGCATATGTTCTACCAAGAGGAAAAAAAGACGTGCATCAGACAGAGATGGTTAAAAGCCAAAATACCCTCAAGGATGAATTTTATTTTTTCCATTACTCTTGAATCAAAAAACGCTGTTTCAAAAAAATATCCTTTTGGATATTATCCCTCTAGTAGAGCCATGGTATTCGTAATGTATTTAGATTTCCTGCCCAGTGTGCTGTGCAGCTCTGAGTGTAACTGTAACCCTCGTCTGTCTAACCTTGATCTCATATCAGATTGTCCAAATTTACAAAATTCACAGAGGTGGAAAGTGACTCGGCCTGTTTATCATTGCTGTTTGCAGTGTCCCCGCAGACGGAGCACTGACCTCCTTTTTCTCCCCGCTGGTCTCCACCAGAAGGGCACTCAGATCCTACCTGCTCCACACGCAATGTTAGAATAACTGAAACGAGTCCAGGTGACGGGGATCGACTTGTGAAAGCTGAAATGATGATTCGTTGTCGCTAATTTCTCTGTTTCTTTCTCAATTTTACAGTCAAGTGACTTCAGTGATATCACAAACTGGCCCACACCTGGTGAACTGGCCAAAGAGGTATGACGTGTGTGTGTGTGACGTGTCTGTGTGTGTGTGTGTGTGTGTGGTTGGATGTATGTGAGACGTCAGCATTTTGTGATTGATTCTGCTGCTTTTACCAACAGAGTGGTCGGCTCACAGAGAGAAGCTTTTCTGGCTTCTGCTCACTAGATGGAGCACTAAAAACATCCAGTAAAGTTCAGGTTTTAACTCTGCAGTTGGCCTCGAATATTTGATGTCCACATTTTCTCTTAAACCAAAAATAAAAACATGCCACAAATCTGTCAGCTGTTCTTCACGTTATAAAAATGAGTCACAGAAAAGAGCGAGGAGAAAAATCTTGAGTTAAAAACCTTCATTTAGTCGAGTATAGATGTTTAAAATGGTGACCAGTTTTTTTTTTACCTCACTGGGAATCTTATCAGGACATAAGTAGTGAAAACAATGTTCCAGTGTATGCTCTACATGTTTTACTAGATTTAAAATCAGTTTTCGTTTTTACTGCCTCCACTCTGCTCTGAGGGTGAAACCAGTTGCAGTTCTTTAGCCGTATGCCAGGAGAAATAAAAATTTACGAGTCCCTGAAAAACATTTTCTTTTCTCCAAAACAAAAATGAGTTTAAAAAAAAAAGAAAATGTCTTCTTTTACTTTTTCTGAGCCGTATAAAACACTAAGAACAGGGCACATTGGTGGGTTACAGGTTGAGGTGTTGACCATGAACCATGTCAGGGACCTTTGCTGTATGTTATTCCCTTTCTCTCTCTTCCTTCATCTCCTGTCATCTCTTTACTTTCCACTTCGTGATAAAAGCATTGGAAACGAAACAAAAACAAAAATTATGTCAGTGTTTAATTCTTAAGTTCATAACCTAAAACACAAACACAAAATATGATTTATACAAAGGAACAACAGGCAAGGAACAAGCAGATGAAACCAAATTAAAGGAAGGAAATGATAAGGCCTTATGACATTTGACCGTCCTCTAAAAGCATGAATTAAAGCTGCTGTCTGTCTGATTTTCCAGCAACAACAAAATGTCCTCAACAACAACGGAAAGAAGCCTTCCTCCTCACGCAGAGACAAGGAGAAGAGGAGGGAGCGACCGGATAGGAAATCGGAGAGCAGCCATGACGGCGGTGAGAGCAAAGAGAACCAGGAGGCTCAGCGGGACCCGCTGGGAGAGCTGCCCAAAGACGGAGAGTCGAAGGTGGGACAGGACGCCAAGAGCGCCAGCCTGAAGAAGAGAGGAGGTGAGGGTGAGGAGTTTTTGTCACTGAGTGAAGCATGTTCTACAGCATCCTTTAAATGATCACGATAAGGCGGATGACAGTGGCTGTGATCCTGATTGAGTTTGATTAATTCAACTCTTCGTCGCTGTCCTGTGAAATTGTTCATCTCCAAAATGTTTAATCAAAGAAAAACAAGCTTGATTAAACTTTGTGACAGTTTTTCAGATAATGTAATGGAGTATTTAATGATTTAAATGAACCAATTCTGGAGATGAATGTGTTTCACTGGACAGGGATAATTTGTATCTTTGATTGCTGCATGGGGGGGGGGGCATGCCAATAACTGTATTGATCACAGTTGGTAATTGCTGGTTGACTCAGATTGGTGCATGTGGTGCATTATCTATTCTATTCACTCTCATCTTTACAGACATTTAAACAAGAGCAATAACAGACACCAACATCTGTGGAGGCTAATAAAAGATAAACCACCATCTTTACAGATAATCCACTGTAGATTCTCACAGGCCTTTGTTTTATTACTGAATATAGATTTAAAATAAATCCTCTCAGGAATAAACAATCCTTTAAATGCCTTTTTAAATGTTGGACCTGAACCCAGTGATGGACAATCCTGGGATACGTGTGTCAGATTTTGTTAATTCAGTTACGTACATTAATAAAGTCGCGGTAGTAAAAATAAAACAGTGATACAGAAATGTGAAGAGGACCTTCCCAAAACGAATCAATTCTTGTTGTCAGTACCATCTCACAACAAGGTCCATTTACTAACTATTCTGGAGCTTTCAATCATATCACACAATTTCCCTCAGCAGATTAGCAGAAATTAGCCTAGTTGCCATCAAATTTTAGATTAGGGCTAAAAGCTGATCCTTTATTTCTTGCCCTTTACTCTCAATTTACACCAAATTTCATTAAAATCTGTTAAAGGTATAGATCGACATTTTGAGAAATGCCAAAAGTTAGATAATGAGGTCGATACCACTCTCATGTATGTACAGTACATTTGTATGTGAGGCAACAGTCAACAGCAGTTTAGCTTAGCTTAGCATAAAGACTGGAAACGGGGGGGAAGCAGCTGCCTGGCTCTGTCCAAAGGTAACAAAATCTGCCTACTAGCAAAAAATGTGCTCTTGTTCTCTCCATATGACTTGTGAGTGGTATTGAGCTTAAGCTAAAATGTCTCCTGCTAATAACAGAAGTCCTTTTTATTCGTGGAGTAAATCATTTCACCAGATATAATTAGCAAATTAGTGATAATTGGTGGCAAAGATGATGATGAATAAGATCTCTGTTGTGCATTATGTTACATGTTGGAAACATGTCATAACTCGTATGCCCTGAAAGCAAAATTGATTGACTATTAATAAGCCACTCTTACGAGTTGGGACTTGACTCACAGTCTTTGAATATTATAGGATGAAAGTCTTGTAAAAGAAAATCAAACGGTTTAAATTTATTATCAAGGTTTCACTTTAATATTGTGTGAAGAGCCTTTACATCACAACTCAACCAATTTGATTGTCTTGACTTTCCTCGACTTGATAGTTCAACAAAACAAAGTGTTCTTTGAGGGAAATGTTTTTAAGGCCATTAATCTAAAACCTGAAATTGTGGTTGTCCCAGAATAAATTAATTTTAATAATAATGCGCCAAAAAACTCCTTGAAAAAGCTTCAAATGTTCATTAACGTCCAGTTGAGTATTTGAGCCCTTAACACTTAGAGCATCACCCTGAAGTTTCGTCACCAGTGGATCTTTATGACACTGATTTAATTTGAATTTAATTTGTTCCAAAAATGGATTTTGATCATTTTGGAACAAAACTCTTCAAGCTGTGTTTTCGGTGTGCAATCATCGCTAGGTAACAAACGTAAGTGGGTTTCTCTGCCGCTGGAGGAAGCGTCCCGGGAAGACGGCGACAAGGCGCCCAGCGGAGGTCCGACACGCTTGGACACAGAGCTCGCCAGCGACTCACCTGACCCCATGTCGCCCAATCACACGCTCCATAATAACAGGGCGCATGATAGCAGCAGGAGTAAGTGGCCAGCAGCTCACTGTTTTCTGTTCACGCCTTCAGTGTCTGTTTTGCTTCTTCCCTCGCTGGTTTGGCTTCGCTGTTTGCTCTCCGCCTCTCTAATATCTCTTCATGTTTGCTCTCCACTTTAACCCCATCTACCATCTGTCTCTCCAGAGTCTAGAAGGTTTTTATTCTCCATACTAACACATGACATAACGAAAGCATGGTATAAATACTAAGCTGTGATCACACTGACAAATTAAACTCCTCTGATAACCTTTAACCTGAACCGTTTTGTGTCAGACAGGTGATTCAAAGCCCGTTAAGCCTCTCTGTCTATGTTGCTCATGAGATTTTCTCTTATACCAGCAGAAGAGGCTGTAAACAGGAAAATTATTGTTTTATTTTATCCATAACTTGGGTTTTATTTTAGTCATTTCTGTTGGTTATGATAACATTTGATCACTAGAATCGAGTCTCAGCAGAGGTATTCAGATGGTCACATCAGTTATAAACACTAAAATATTACCCAATGAACATCCTTGGTTTGAGTTTGGCCGTGGCCCTTATTTGCATTTCGCTCCCCATCTCTTTTCTGTCATTTGTCTACTGTCATCTCAAATGTCAAAAAAACAAACAAACTCCATTTTAGATTTTCGCTGGCAAATTCTTAGTTCATCACTGATCCACAGTTCTCTGCTATAACTTGACACACACACAGGTTAGCTCCCTTTAGATTAACAGCTGAAAAATCTATTAGTTTATAAGGTGATGAGCAGAAAATTAATCTGCACCTATTTTGATCTGATTGAACTGTTAAAGTCAAGCAAAAAGGCCAAAGATTTAATGGCTTCAGTTGCTTCATCCCCATATCTAAACAGCAAAAAAGAAATAAAATGTTAAAACAGAGAGAAATAATAGACAAGACTAAACTAGTTCATGAAAGTAGTCGAGTTCTTACCAGCTGTTAGTATAATTCCTCTTAAGGATTTATCAGATTTATCATCCCCTCAGAGACCGTAAGGACTTCTCGGTTAGGGAACGCTGCATGAAGAATCTGGACCATCTGACACTGAACTTCATGTTTTCTTGTTCACAGGTTGGAGAAGAGAGCCGCGGGACTTCGGAGACGATACTGCCAGCATCAGGAGTGACAGCGGGAGCGTGCGCGGTGGGATACGAGGCCGAGGGAAAGGGCGCGGGCGCGGCAGAGGTCGCGGACGAGGCATGTTTTTGTTTGTTTGTTTGTTTTTTTGTTTCGCCAAGTTTCTACAAAAGGTTACCAACCAGAACTTACAGTCATGTTAAAAGCACAAAGCTATGACTCGGTGTTTTAATTGGTAAGACATAAAACTTTTGTAACAACATGAGAGAAAAGCCTGGATCCAGTTCAGCTTTTTAGAAAATGTTTTCCTTCACTTCCTGTACTAGTAAACAATATTTCAATACACGGCTGCTCCTCTTTCCCTGGAGAGACAAGCTAACCAGCTACAAAATACCTCTCAACATAATCAAATATTTCGCAGCTCATGGCAGGCTTTAATTTCCCACAGGATGCACAGCGTGCAGTAAGTGTTTCTCATATTTCTTCTTCTGTTCATCCTGCTCTTTCAGGACGTTATGAATACTCTCAGAGCTTCCGCGACTCTCAGTCGTCTGACGGCTCCGCTCAGGGCGCCACCGAGTTCAGCACCAACATGGTTTACTATTATGACGACGGCAGCAAGGTCCAGATGTACACAGTGGATGAGAAGCTTCTCAAGGAATACATCAAACGCCAAATGTAAGTGTATGACATTAGCAACCTTATGATGGGCTCCTTAACCACCAGAGAAAAGAAATAACACTGTTTTCCATCACCACTACCTCCTGAAATGTCCAGAGGTTTAAAACAAAAAATACATAAAACATGACTGTCACCATTTATTGATTAATTTCCAATTGTTTTCTATCATTTTGAGTAATTTTGACTATATAGAAAATATCTAAAGATCCAAAAAAGGATGTGTGTTTGTATTTGTTCCGAGCAGGGCAAGGGTTAGCTGTGCATGATCACTAAACCACGTTTGATTAAAGGTCCATCACATGACTTTATTTCTTCTTTTGGGGTTTTTGGAGCTTTAATACACGAGTCATTTGTTTCACCTAAATTTTCACAATCCTTGAACCCACATACAGTATTGTGGCTGCCACTAATAGGATTTGTGACAAATAGATTTCCTCAAAGGCCTCAGAAATTAGCTGTTTAAGACCCACCAGTTCAGCTGTAAGAATATTGTGATTAAAAATAACTTTAAACTGCATCAAACACATTCTCTCCACAAGTCACTTACTCAAAGCACTTTCAAAAACACTAATTTATGGGACTCTGTAGGACCTAATTTGCACTTTTGTGAAGCAGGTAAAGACATTTTGATCTTCAGTCATTCATCAGTATGAAGGAAATTTAAAGCTTAAAAGGTCAAGGTGGAAAAGTTATATTTTAACCTCCAGCTCCTGCTCAGTCGAACAGGTAAAGACTGTCTGCACAGCGCAGATCAGAGGTGCGAGTGAGTCCGACTGATAAGCTGTAAACAGAGCATGTGAAGGGTAGTGTCGTAAATCTCCTCTGGGTTTCCATGTGACCTGCAGGGGGCAGCGTGCGCTCTGCGTGTGACTGACAACTTTGGCCTCATTACTGAAGCAGACTCAGACTAGTGGAGGGGTGAGGTGGACTCCTAAATATAGTCTGAGTGCCTTGGAGGGGACAGGGGATGAATTATGTGCAGGCCTGAGCAAGGAAATGTAAAAAAAAAAAAAAACATTTTCGGGGAGGGGGGAGAGAAAGCGATGATGGAGGAGGGGGGGGGCAATTCTTGTCTTCTCCTCTCTCGTCTTCCTCAGCGTTATTCAGGCCGCTCACTCAGCCAGCGTCACTCCACATGAAACAACCACTACACACTGCCTGCAGGCTGAGCTTGACGTACAGTGTGTGTGTGTGTGTGTGTGTGTGTGTG